CCCCCCCCCCCCCCCACAAAAAAGCTTCTAGAGCCACTCACTTTGAGTGTTGACACTAGGATGACATTGGCTAACCCTTTAAATGAGCTATTCTCTTCGTCTCAATTTAATTTGCATGTTTATGATTCACTGGATCAAATTTTATTTATTTTTTAAATCAATTTTGGTTACTTATTCGATAAAACAATAAAGTCATGTCACTTTTTGTTTCGTAGAATTTTTTATGTACTCCCACCGTTCCAATTTAAATAGTCTATTTCAGTTTACGATATTTGATCGAAGTTACTTTCAATACAACTTATTTAAGCATGGGAGTAGAAATAAAAAATAAAATTTACGTACTTAAAACTACATCAAAAGTTATATAGAACACGAGATGACATAACTATATTATTCTATCAATTGAGATCAAAAATATGAAAAGAACGTGAATGAAATTTGAGCGTATGAATAATAAATATGCAATTTAATTTGGATATTGGCCAGCATGTGATAAATAGATGCTACAGAGTGTATATTTTTGCCAATTTCATACTTTATAATCTTCTCCGGGAAAGAACTTTCCAAGTAGATTTTTTTTATAGTTTTTTAAGAAGAGTTTACTACATTATATCTAATGAAAGTGGAGGAGTATTGGGTGAGGATGAGATGTACTCCCTTGGTCCATTAATTTTTTTATCACTTTCTTCTTTGGGTTGTCCAAAATTTTTTTGCTCGTTTCTTATTTTGGCAAATTTTTTTTAATGAATATGCCATTATATTTCCACTTTTTATTTACACTATTCACTCTATTCCATCACATCAAAGTGAAACCGGGAAATTTTTGGACAAGAGTAATGAGTAAAGAAAGGAAGAATAGCTGTGGTGTTTCAAATGTTAAAAAGAGTAATGAGAAGATGGACAAAAAAGACATTTGAGAAGAGAGAGGGAGTGACATTTTTGTTCAGTCGTCCATACTTCGTAGTGTTTTGATCCAATTTCCTTTAAAGAAGAGTTTTGATAATAATAATAATAATAATAATAATAATAATAATAATAATAATAATAAGGCACAAAGCAAAAGAAGATTAAAGACAACAACACTTCCACAACAATTCCTTGAATTGTTACAAAACTACCCCTACAGCTGCTTTGCCCTCTCAGCACACCTCAGTGTCAAATTTCAGCGACAGACCCATACTGAAGAGCTCCTGACACAAAAGCTTTGCCCCATAGGGCACATTCACCCTCACAATGTCCTCCACAGATTCACAGAACCTGCAATAGGGACCCCTGACCTTACGCCCGCCTACAACCGGACGTTGGATCACGTTCGCCATGTTCTTGCACTTCCTGCATATGTGCATCTGGGAAGAGTCGCTGAGCGTGAAGAGCCGTTCGTGGAGGTTTGCAGCAGCACCATGGGCTATGAGGCAATCGCGTTCCATCTCGCCGAATTTGATCCCTCCAAAACGCTTCCGGTCAGCCACGGGTTGGCGGGTAAGGGGATGGACCGGCCCCGTGTTCCGGAACTTCACTTTGTCCTCTGCCATGTGGGTAAGCCGCTGGTAGAATGTTGGGCCCATGAAAACTAGGGACTGGATCATTTCGCCTGTCCGGCCATTGTATACTCTCTCGTTTCCCCATCTTGAGAACCCAAGACTGCAAAATCAGCCATATCTTATATTCTTAGATCATGCTTGGTGTCCACTAAGTTTACACCATCCCATTTTTTTTATATTTTACAGATAAAACTCAACTATGACAACTGTGCCAACTGTGCCACAGATTGATAATAAAACTTGACTGTGCAGTAAAAAAAGGGTGTAAACAAGGTGTAAACTTTTTTGGTGTACACATAGTTTAATCCTAAACTTTTGCGCGCAGATCAAGGAACAATACTGTATAAAGATGGGATAAAAAGCTTTTTTTTGCTTCAAGCTATTCATTACCTATGAAGGTTCCTTGTAATTTCATCAACTGATGGAGTGGAGAATGGCGTAGCATATTTCAGATCTGCTCGGTGGCCAATGTGCTTTCCTAAGGAAATGACCTTTCCCAAGGCTGCTTCAAGAAGTTGGCCCGGTGTTTGACGTGAAGGAAAGGCATGTGGGTTTATAACTATGTCCGGGACTATCCCTTGCACCGTAAAAGGGAAATTCTCTTGAGATTCCAGAAAACCAAGAACACCCTTCTGCCCATGCATACTTGAAAATTTGTCTCCAAGGCAAGGAGAACGAACCTGGAGGCAAGAGTTGCCATCAGCATCATATAATGACAGTTTGATTTTTTTG